ATTTATAAAAATCAAAAGGGAGGTTATATTAATAGATATAAATCAGCCACCTAAGTTTAACGAAAACTGCCCATAGCACTGAAGGGATATTGTCAGAAAACTTGAAAATCCTATCTAGTCACTGTATTAGCTATGATTCATTGTGATATTGGTCAATAAATCCTGATTTGAAATTTAAGCTAAAAAAGGGGGCCATTTTTTAGCCTTATCGAACCTACTCCTTTACACCTTGATAAAATTTTTATGAGCTTCAAAATACCATATATGGCAGATATAAAGGTTAACGAGCTATAAACAATGAAATTATCTGAAATTTCAAAATGATATTAATTTAATAATACTCATTGTATATCAAACGCTATGCCGTTTTTACCAATGGCCAAAACTTAACCAGTCAAAAAGTACCGGATAAATTTATCCAGCAGATAGCACGTTTTATCCACTGCATGAAATTTGAGCAATAGAAATTATCCACTGGTTTAAAGTTAACCAGTGGATAAGCAGTTTAACCACTTGCTAACATTATCAAACGTTTTGAGGAACCCAGTCCTGTTCCGTATATTTAGCCATGGTGTTCTACTTTTTTTATGGTGACACTATGACCAAATGTAGACTTACATGATGGATTGTTCAAAACACAATTACTCTGTTGATGCATCTTGTGTCTGTCATTATTAGGTAATACGAGTCGCTCGATTTTTAATTGTTTTATCAGTGTATCCTTTAAATAAGCTTATGACTTTTGAAAATGTGTTGCCTCTTAAACATCACAGCTATCACATGAAGTTTGTTTTATGAAAACCCTGCCCCTGCCTTTTTTGAAAAAAAATTATTCTGCATCCAAAGTACTAAGATTCAAACAGAAAAAGAACACACAACTATAAACAATATAAAACAAACAACAACGAAAGACAAAATACTAAACACGAGACGTAAACGAAACCCACTCAAAATCATATAAAAGCTAACAACCTTTGCAAGAAAAAGATCACAGGTGCTTCGGTATTGAATGATTAACACCTGTAAAAACACATTTAAGTGTCAAATATATCCACACAGACATAAAGGCTACTTGATCATTAAATAATCACCATTTGCTTATTTATTTTCCTTAGTCTCCAAAGTCACCGTACGGCATTCAACAATGAACAAAGCACATACCGCATATTCAGCTATAAAAGGCCTCGAAATGTCAAATGAAAAATATTTCAAACTAGAAAACAAACGGCCTAATTAATGTACAAAAAATGAACGAAAATCAAATATGTAGCAAAGCAACAAACGGCAACCACTGATGCACAGGCTCCTGACTTGGGACAGACTCATACATACAGAATGTTGCGGGGTTAAACATGTATCGGGATCCCAACCCTTCCCTAAACTGGGACAGTGGTGTAACAGTACAACACAAGAACAAACAATAAAAATCAGCTGAAAAAGGCTTACCTCATCAGATGGATACAAATAGAAATACATATAACAAAAACACGTAGACGTGACCGGGTACTTGTACATCCAAACAACAAAAAAAAAACACTTATAAAATTGAGAATGGAAATGGGGACTGTGTCAAAGAGACAACTATCCGACTAAAGAGCAGAAAACAGCCGAAGTCCACCAATGGGTCTTCAATACAGCAAGTAAATCCCGCTCCGGAAGCTTCAGCTGGCCCCTAAACAAAAATATGTACTAGTTTAGTGATAATGGACGTCATACTAAACTCGAACATAAATATATAAAAGAAACTAAAATTAACAATCATATTAGACTTGCATAGGCCAGAGGCTCCTGACTTGGGACAGGCGCAAAAATGCAGCGGGGTTAAACATGTTTTTTTTAAGATTTCAACCCTGTTCCTATACCTCTTGCCAATTCATAAAAACAAACACACAGCAATACGCACAGTAAAACTCAGTTGAAAAGAAGTCTGGGTCTGATAACAGAATTAGTAACAAACGAAACTAAACAAAATGACAATGATATATAAATTAACAAAGGACTACTTACAGTAACTGACATGCCAGCTCTATACCTCAATCAAACTGATTGAAAACTTATGGCTTCATCATATGAATATCAAGCACAATCCCTCCCGTTATGTGTATAGTATCATACCATCATAAAATATATGAGAAGAACATAACCCGTATTATGCCAACAACTGGTTTTAAATAAATGTGTTTATTTCCGATGCAAAGACCCTATGAGTGAATCAATATTAATACCAAAATATGGCATCTTTAATGATCTGACAACAGTATCGTACTATATCCCTTCTGAATAAGTCTGTTTAAAGGTTTGGTTAGCTTTTGAGGTGAATGCCGATAATTTTGTGCTTTGTAAAAAATATTACCATAAAAGATTGGTGTGAAATACCTGAATGTATAAGATGTCTGCATGTTGATGTATATTTATGCATGATGTTACTATTCCGATGATAGAATTTAGTAAAAGTTTTGATTAGTTTGTGATATCGAAAATCCTGGTGTAATAGTTTTCAGTAATACATAGATTTCTTTCGCTAAAATCTAATACGTTGTTACATACACGAGCGGTTCGTACAAGTTGAGATACATAAACACAATAAGATGGTGACAAGGGAAAGTCACCATCTAAAAATGGATAATGAATAATAGAAAATGAAAATCAACTCTTTTAACATAGGCGTGTTGTGTACTCTATTATTTGTATCTGAATTATTTGTAAAATGTGATATTCGAATACCATCAAAATTCCTACATTTATTTGATAAAATATGTTATATCAGTTTTTTCCCGTTTACATCAATTGTTACAAAACGAGGAAAGATCGTCTTTCGTGACCTCACGACACTGTTTACAATCTTGTTTAGATGGAGGACGATTGTTTGGTCGTTATTTCGAAAAGTTTTTAACCTCTCTGTCTAAGATGATATCGAGGTCCTCTGTTATGACATGGTCATAGGGTTCATATCTAAACTTTGACGATTCACAATCTCAAGTTGACGAAGTATTATTTTCCACATTGACGACTGATGTAACTGACTGCTTGATTGCGTTTAGCACATTTTCGGCATTGATCTCGATTAAATCTATTAGTATCTTAATTTTTTAATATAACATTTTACAAAAAAATGTCATTGAAAATCTTCAGATCTCCAGTACTAGCGTGGCAATGCAGCCTGAATATATGTAATTTGAGAACAAGAACATTTGCCATCAGGAGGTCCAGACTTATAATTCAGATTATAATATGCCTTGATTGATTGATTGGTGATACTTAATGTCACTTTAGCCGAAACTAGTGTGGATCCGGATAAAACCCTTTCCAAAGATCATCAATGTTTAAATAATCAGCAATAATTAACACATTTGAAGATACACATTAGAAAGAAACACAAAATTGCAAGCTCTTAAATTACCTGCTAATAAGAAACTAGTTAGTCATTTTCTAAATTCTAACTTGAAGTAAATTTTAGAATAAAGTTTGAAAACAAAATTTGATCCAAAATTTGTTTTACTGAATACCATGTATTCGGATTGTTTTTATTCACAGAATGTCTTGTATACCTGTACTAATCAGTTTTTACAAGCTGTTTAGAAGTTGGAAAATTTTTTTGATGCCCAACGGATTACATTTAACTTGTACCTTTCTGTTAAGAAAAAAGTAAAATCACAAAAATACTGAACTCCGAGGAAAATTCAATCGGAAAGTCCCTAATCACATGGCAAAATCAAATGACAAAACACATCAAACGAATGGACAACAACTGTCATATTCCTGACTTGGTACACAGCAAAAATTGCATACCCGTTTTTCATGCGTAAAACAGGCGTTTTACGTATGTTATAAAACGTACGTAAAACGCATATTGAGGACCACGCATGTAAAACGCCCGTTTGAAACGTATGAATTATGTATGTTTAACACACGTAATACGTGCGTGAACGTAAAACATGCGTTAAATGATTACGTAGAACGCCCGTTTTATGGGTAAACGCACGTTAAACGCCTGTTAATTTCTAGAAAATCATGTGTTTTACGTATGTTTTTTTTGTCCTCAACACCCGTTTTACGTATGGTTTTTTTTGTCCTCAACACCGGTTTTACGTATGGTTTTTTTTGGTCTTCAGCACCCGTATTTACATATGTTTTTTTGGTCTTCAACACCTGTTTGACATGTTTTTTTTTCTTCCAAAGCACCCATAATATGCTTGGTTTTTTGTTGTTGTCTACACCATTTAATGAATGTTTTTTTTGTATGGTATTGTTAACATTTTACCTGTTTAACATGTTTTTGTGTTGTCCACAACACCCAAATACATTATGATTTTTTGGAGGTTTTTTTTCTGGTTGGTAATGGATATACCTTAAATACATTATACTTGTCTTTTCTAATGTAAACACTAACAATTTGATTTTTTTTTACTTATATATTCAAGTAAACATATATAAATTAATGATTATATCATTGTAGTATTTAGTTGGTATCAAAATGACTACATTTAAATTTGATGGTGTTGTCTGTCCTTTTCAAACTTGATTGCCTCCCTTCTAGAACTGTTTTTGGCAAGGCATACATTTACTGTGTGCTATCTTACAATTAGAATGGGAGCACAATATTTTATGACATCCTATTCAAATGATCTATATTCATTCATAAACCTAAATCCATGGAAAAACCCTCACGAGAAAGATTATCAATTACCATTTAGAATGGACTATTTACCTTAAAGATGTCTTGGTTTTTATGCTAGTCTTATTGACGTAAACGCAACATCTCCTCTTGTATATTTATGTTACACTCAGAATATAATCTACTGAAAAGAATAGATTATGCTTAAGCCAATTGAAGAAGAGAAGGTACATGTATTAGGATAAGACATCATCTTTTTCTGTTGGTCATTGGAAATTGTGTTCACCACAATTGTGATTTGGATGGATTGATCGTCGGTTGGTTGGTTCTATGATAGAATTTGCAAAAAGACCCCAAAATATGATGGTCATATAAACCTTACAAATTTAGTTATTTCAATTCTATTTATTTAACAACTACATTTTTTTGGACGAGATATTTACAATCATACAAAATGTGTACCATAGTTCTTATTTCATTAGCATTATGTGTTCCTAATGTACTTGTGGTTGACATATATACACTCCAAGTTTACTCTGCCTTGCTCTTGGACTCTTGTTCACAAAACTGTTTAACTGTTAGTATTATTTAAGACTGTTCTCCTGTTTACAATATTATAATTTTTGCACATGAATTCCTTCATTTATTTGCACTTCTCCTTGTAAGATTCCAATGGTCATGATGATATAATCCTGTTGTTCATAATCAGTAAACATATCCTTCGAAAATTTTCTACAGCATCTGTAATGTAAAAACAAAAGAAGATGTATTTTGGTGGGCAGTCATTATTTTTTTAAATGGAATAACAAAGTATGAATATATATAGATGTTTGTCAAGATATGTCCTAAGCTTTTTTAAAACACAAGTGCAGACACTGAAGTGTCTCAACTGCTTTACTTTTTATCTCAAAACTGAAAAGTCTGATATATATCAGTGAATCACTGTCACACAATACACCAAATATAGCCTATTGCTGATATATCATATCTGAGTAACAGACCATTGCTCATTCTTGAAGGCTGTAAGGTCTCGTGTGGAGAGTTGTCTCAGTGGCAATCATACCATATCTTCTAATTTAATTTTTATACAAGTTAGAAATCTGAACATTGACTTATCGTTATGAACCATAATAATGAGGTCCAGGTCAGATGAACACTGTAGACAACACCTACACCATGCAATCATTCCTAGCTACACATATAGTTGATATATTGATTATAGTATCTGAGAAACAGACATAACCATGAAAACTTACACTGACCAATGAACCATGAACATGAGGTCAAGGTCAGATGACACCTGTCAAACAGACAGGTACACCTTACAATATTCCATACAATAAATATATTTGATCTATTGTTTATAGTAATACATATAGTATCTGAGAAATAGACCAAACCTCAAAAAATTAACATTGTCCTATGAACCATGATGAAACCTACCAGACAGACATGTACATCCTACAAATATACCATACACCATATATACAGGTGATCTATTGCTTAAAGTATCTGAGAAACCAACCAAACCACAAAAACTTAATATTGACAAATGAACCATAAATATGAGGTCACATCAAAAGTCTTACAACTAAAAGAAACACGATAGCAGTCAGCACAAAGACAAACAACGAAAACTGTAGAGTTGACAAAAACTAGAGGCTCTAAAGAGCCTGTGTCTCGCTCACCTTGGTCTACATGCATATCAAACAAAGGACACTCTACAACATTGTGGAGGAGAATAGACTTCATGACAAAAATCTTTATTTTGTTGATCTTGTATAAAATTAACTCTTAGTCTGTTTAGTTTCTCTCTATCTTCTTTACTTCTTGCTCAAAACACAATAGAGGGTAAAAAAATCCCCTTTTAAGGGCAATTACTTCTATGAAGAGTGACAGTCTACTAACTCTGTCGGCAAAATTTGACTTTTTAATAGATCTTGCCTTGCTGATCATTTTTGTGATTTGAAGTGTTTATTTATCTTTTATAATTTAAATCATACAAGGCATAAAAAACAATTTTCTTTCTAAATGTCATAGTTTTCATGGTAATAGTCAATAAAATGCTCCGCAGGGCGCAGCTTGATATGACCGCAGAGGTCGAACCCTGAACAGTTGGGGCAAGTATGGACACAACATTCAAGCTTGATACTACAGCTCTGAATTTGGATTGTGATTAAATATTTGACACAGCATAGGTTTCTGACACAGAATGAATGTGGTCTTAGAACTTAAAAATTTTAAATTGGACATTTACCTATTATGGTCCAATATCCAAAATCTAAATACATGATTAGATTCAGCATATCAAAGAACCCCATATATTCAATTTTTGTTGAAATCAAACAAAGTTTAATTTTGGACCCCCATTTGGACCAACTTGAAAACAGGGCCCATAATCAAAAATCTAAATACATGTTTAGATTCAGCATATCAAAAAACCACAAGAATTCAATTTTTGTTAAAATAAAACTTAGTTTAATTTTGGACCCTTTTGACCTTAATGTAGACCAATTTGAAAACGGGACCAAAAATTAAGAATCTAAATACAAGGTTAGATTCGGCATATCAAAGAACCCCAATAATTCAATTTTTTATGAAATCAAACAAAGTTTAATTTTGGACCCTTTGGACCTCAATGTGGACCAATTTAAAAACGGGGCCCAAAATCCAATAAAAAACAGCTGCGCCATGAGTGCATGATACGCCCGTTGTCTTGTGTGAGGATTTTTATGCAATAAGCATAAATAGTTTCTGACATACGGCGTGACATGCGAAAACCCCCTTTTTTTTTACAAAAAACTCAATATCTCTAAAATAAAATTTTTGAATCAAAACCAAAAAGTATACAGATCTTTAGATTAATATAACTAAGAAGTGTGTAAAATTTTAAGCAATAATCATAAATCATTTTAGAGATATGGTGCGACATGTGAAAAACCCCTCCCCCTTTTTTTACAAAATACTCATTTACTCAAAAATAAAATTTTGAATCATCACCAAAAAGTATACAGATCTTAAGGTTAATATAACTAAGAAGTGTGTAAAGTTTTAAGCAATAATCATAAACTGTTTTTGAGATACGGCGCGACATGTGAAAAACCCCTCCCCCTTTTTTAACAAAATACTCAATATCTATAAAATAAAATTTTGAATCATCACCAAAAAGTATACAGATCTAAAGATTAATATAACTAAGAAGTGTGTAAAGTTTTAAGCAATAATCATAAATTGTTTTTGAGATACAGCGCGACATGTGAAAAAAAACAGACACCTGTTTTAGTTACTAAGTCCCGTAACTCAAAAAGTTTAAATCTTATTTTCACCAAAAAGTATACAGATCGTTTGACCATCATAAGAAACAACTATGTTAAGTTTCATGAAATTTGAATAAGTCATTCTCAAGTTACGGTGCGACATGTTTACGCCGGATAGACAGACGGACAGACGGACAAACGGACGGACACCGGACATTTGTATACCATAATATGTCCCATCAAAAATTGACAGGCGTATAAAAACTTATTATATAGGTTAGATTCAGCATATCAAAGAACCCCATATATTCATTTTTTGTTGAAATCAAACAAAGTTTAATTTTGAACCCAGATTTGGACCAACTTGAAAACTAGGCCCAAAATCCAAAAACTTAATACACGGTTAGATTCAGCATATTAAATAACCCCAAGAATTCAAGAATAAAACCCCATTGAAATTGGTCAAGAAATAAGCAATTTATACAAAGTATTAGAAAAGTATTGTTTTTGGCCCCTAATTCCTAAACAGTTAGGACCATATAACCCCCAAAATCAATCTCAACCTTCCTTTTTTGGTATGGAACCTTGTGGTACAATTTCAGAAAGATCCATACACTTACACACAAGTTATTGTCTGGAAACTAGAAAAATGCTTATATGGACCCCTTTTTAGGCCCTTAATTCCTAAACTGTTGGGACCATAAACCCCAAAATCGATCCCAACCTTTCTTTTGTGGTTTCAAACCTTGTGTTTAAATTTCATAGATTTCTATTTACTTATACTAAAGTTATTGTTGGAAAACCAAATGTCTTCGGACGACGACGTGATAACAATATACGACCGCATAAAAATGAGAAAAAAATGTTTAATTTGTCATTTATTGGCAAAAATTCCTATAAGAATTTATCTAACAGTTTTGACGTATATGGACAATTGTTAGAGCTTATTATTCTGAACATTTTTGCTCCTTTCAAATTTTCTCTTATTTATTTAGTTTCAAAAATTAATAGACAAAACTTGCATTTTACCCCCTATGTTCTATTTTTAGCCATGTCAGCCATGTTGGTTGGTAGGCGGGTCACATTTTGTAAACTAGATACCCTAATGATGATTGTGGCCAAGTTTGGTTAAATTGGTCTCAGTAGTTTCAGAGCAGAAGATTTATGTAAAAAATTACAAAAATTTCCTTAAAATTGTAAAAAATTGACTATAAAGGTCAATAACTCCTTAAGTGGTCCATTATTTGTAGATCTTACTTTACTGAACATTATTGCTGTTTACAGTTTATCTCTATAATAATATTCAAGATAATAACCAAAAACTGCAAAATTTCCTTAAAATTACCAATTCAGGAGCAGCAACCCAACAATGGGTTGTCTGATTTGTCTCAAACTTTCAGGGCAGATAGATCACGACCTGACGAACAATTTTACCCCTGTCAGACTTGCTCTAAATGCTTTGGTTTCAAAGTTTCAGCCGCACTTCTGTACCCATTTTTAACCGAAAACCGAAGTAATCCTCCAACATTTTCATGTTGAATTGATACGGTTCCCCGGAAGGAAAAGCTCTTGACGTGTAAAAATCTGTTGTAAAATTGCTGAGAGCGTATCACAAAGTGTTTCAGTGTAAGGTCAATATATACCGTATTTGCTACGAAATAAAAATTAATTTTGCTGGGCAGACATGCAATGAGCATGCGTGCAATGACGGAAATGATGACGGCACGTAAATTTCAGAGCCGAACGCCATGAAGGACGGTCGATCCAAACTGGCTTTTTTGCAATTTTAATCCCCAAATACCCCCCAAAAGATCTTGAAATGAACACATAATAAACTATGCTGGTCATTACCCCTTTGTGGTATAAAACAATATTCGTGGATTTTATGTGAAAGAAGAAAACGCGACACCCAATTTCAACTCTATTCATTTAGTAATATAGATAAGCCAAAATCTACATTTTACCCCTATGTTCTATTTTTAGCCATCGCGACTATCTTGGTTGGCGGGCCAGGTCATCAGACATATTTTTTAACTAAATACCCAAATGATGATTGTGGCCAAGTTTAGTTAAATTTGGTCCAGTAGTTTCAGAGTAGAAGATTTTGTAAAAGTTTACAGACAACGACGAACCAAGGTCAGATTAATTCTGCCGGACAGAAATGCACATCATCTAAAACACCAAATACAGTTTAATTTAATATATAGTAAATGAAAAATTTTGTAGACATGTTTGGAAATTGTCTTTGAATAACTCCATATTTCCTATGTGTCATTTATATTTACCTAAAACACCATTTTCTTTTCTTTACAGTTTGTTTAATACCTATACTATAATGCAGAACTGATCATACACCAACGAACGTATTTAACAAACCTAAGAAAGAAAAAATAATAATAGTTTATACATTTAAGGAATGACTGTAATATTTTTTCTGTCTATGAAGAAATAACATAAAAAATGTGGTGCACACTGAATAACCCGCGTAGTGGATTATTTTAAAGTGTGCACCACATTTTTTTTGTTATTTCGAATAGACAGAAAAAATATTACAGTCATTTCTTATAATTTAATTCTTAATTCCATTTTAAACCGGAGAAAATCATGAAAAAACGTTGATGACATCAAGGTCACATGACAAAATTATGTCTATGAGCTGATAAACAAAACAAAGTCAGCCAATCTGAAGACGCGTTACATCCAAAATTAAATTATTATTATATAAAAAAAGTTTAGAATTTTATATCCCTTAAATAGATGGTTCCTGTTTAACTGTTACAGCCTTTAAATAGTATACGTGTGGCTCACCTACATGAATCCTTGTGCATCTGTTATTAAACATGTCGCCTCTTGTTTTTGGTGGGTTAATGTTATTCAGTCTATTATAATAAGTTTTCTAAATAGTGATGTGTGGACTTTTTGGTTGTTTTTTTTTTTGCAAGACATCAGTTTCTCTTCCACTTAGGCCAAACTAAAAAGTATGTGTATTTACTGCCACATGCTGAAAAAAAAATAGGGTAGGTAGGTAGGGACTTTTTTTTATTTTTAATATTTTTTTTACATTGAGTCTATGGGAGCAACATTGTGACTTTAACAGTGCGTAATCAAAAATGGTCAAAAAAACTTTGGGGTAGGGGATAAAAATTAGGGTAGGTAGGGGTACAGTAAACACACATACTTTTTTGTTTGGCCTTATGAGTTTTGAATGTCCCTTTTATTTCTTCTGTATCATCATGATCATTCATTTTAAGATCAACAACTCATATATGGAAGGAGTTCATAGACAATTTTTGTGCTGTTAAGTTATGGTATTGGTAGACTTTGCAATCAAATTTGGAGTTAAACAACAGTTTTACAGTATATAAAGTCTTACGACCAACTATAGCAAGTTTTCCCCAAATTGCTAAAATCAAGATTTTAAGGTAATTTTCATTTCAGCTATTTGACCTTATGGCCTATATGTTGATCTTGTCTTTTTGATCATTTTTGCTATTCATAGTTTCTCACTATCTATTCAAGTTTTAAGATAATGGGCAAAAACCAAATAAATTGTTAAAAATCACTTGATTTATCCTAATAAGAGTTGACTGATCCATTTCCACCATACATGTATGGAGGTATTTGTAGATAATTTTTTGTATTCAAAAGTTGCCCTCTATCTTTTGCCAAAAGGGTGGGGGGACATATTGGAACCCTGTTCTTTTGTTGGACTTTTTCTGTAATTGTGTCCATACTACCCTAATCTATAAACCCAATCCAGACCCTCATAAGTGGTTAAAATTCTTATACAACTGCATACATTTTGTACCAAACATTATTGACCTGTATGAGTAGTGGTTCCCATTGAGCCGACCTAATAACCGTTGTTGACCTGTCAACACAAGGCCTTGGCAAGCAACAGCATGTCCAATTATTAATATTGTTTTTTTCCCCTTCTCTGATGCAAGGCAAAATGACATACATTTTTCAATCACCAAGAGGAAATGAGAATTTACATGACAAATTGACATGATTGATAGCTACTGCTTATGATTGTTTGCTACAATACAGTATCTAATACTTACCAATTTCAGTTGTTGGAAGAGTGATTGGCACTGAAAAATTACAAAAAGTTAAATTTATTTTAATGCATATATATACATGTACAAATAATTAGCATAATCTGCAAATATTTTTACAAAATTTACTTTATTTTTAAAATAGATGGTGGCTTAGTTAAATTACTGATATTTTTAATATACCAGTCCCTACAATAATGTTTATGTTGTACATCAAATCTATCTCAGCATACTCAATCTAGTTAGTTCAGTGGGTAAACATGTGTACAAAGTATCATGTTGATGTCACTCTGATGGTCACATGATAATGACATGATGCGTTGATGTGACCATCAGGTGGATAGTTGTCTCATTGGCATTCATATTGCATGGCATGCTGCATCTCCTTATTTTGATATTAGCATGGTATTTTTTTTTTTAGGAGATTTATATCAATTTGACAATTCTAAAAAAAAGTTTAAACTTCAAAATGTGGTGGCTTTTTGGCATTGCAGTTTTGTAGATTTACACCATGTACACATGAACAGGTCTTCCTGATATTTTTTTGTCATTTTCATTGCTCCACGAGTCATCTTCCACATTCAGATGAAGGATTCATTTTGTGATTATAAGCATCAGTTTCATAACATTTGTATGAGACATACTAAAGTTAAAGAACAGAAACTACAGATTCAGCCCTTTTTTTTTAATAAAAGGGGCATAACTCATGAACGGTACAAGTGACACCACCCAATTTGTGGTAATAAGCATTGTGTATAAGTTTCATAATATTTAGTTAAGACAAACTTAAGTTAGATTACAAAAACGAAAAAAAAATAGAATTTTTTTTTGTTTATACGAGACACAACTCATGAACGGTAAAGGTGACGCCACCCAATTTTGATCTTGATCTGTGTTTTGTGGTAATAAGCATATAGTGAATAAGTTTTATAACATTTGGTTGAGGCAAACTAAAGTTAGGAAACGGAAACCAATTTTGGGGATGTACGGACGGACAGGACAGACAAGGGCAAAACTTAATATCCCCTTCGCTACAGTGATGGGCATACAAATAGTATTCTCCAGTTTCATGTGTCTGTCTGAAATGGGAAAAGTCAGTGTATCCCAAACTCTGTCTGACTGACAAAATGTTTTTAGTAGAAAAACGTAAAATTTCTGTTTCATTCAGACAAACCCCAAAATAGTTTGCCGAAGACTGCAGGAACCTCATCACTGTGTGCATTTTCTTACATTTCAATGTATTAATATTCTTCAAGGATTATGGTGGTAAAGGTAGTATGCAAGAAATATGTCTATTATTGAGATTTAATTATATCAGGATAGATACTAGGCCTAAGGCCAAATAAAATAATATGTGTGTTTCCTATTACAACATCTTTGAAAAAAATAGGGTAGGTAGGTAGGGAATTTTTTTTATTTTACAATTTTTTTTTTACATTGAGTCTATATGGGAGAGAAATTTTGATTTAACAGTGCTTATTGAAAAATACCCACAAAACTTTAAGGTAGGCTATTTCTTCGCTAAAAATATAGGGTAAGTAGGGAAATTTGGCCTTATACATATTATGAAGGCATTTTTTTTTTAATCTGTTATAATCATATATTACATCTGAGTGGCAGAACTTTTTATAAGGGGGGGGGGGAGGGGAGGGGGCACTGAGTGACCTAAAGGGGGGGGGGGGGGGGGCTCCAGTCATGCTTCAGTTATTCCCTATATAATCAACAAAATTTTTCCCACAGAAGAGGGGGGCCTGGGCCCCCCGCCCAGGATCCGCCTATGATCATGTATATGATATCCATATATATAGTCCAAGTTGTTACATAGCATATATATAAATATTAAAGATGTGGTATGATTGCCAGTAAGACATTCACAACTCTACACAAGTGACCAAATGACACAGAAATTAACAACTATATGTCACCGACTGTACAGCCTTAAAGAGTAAAACCCAAACTGCATAGACACTCTGTTTACCCCACCCTTTTCATATAATTTAGATTTTTAAAATTTATACTTTCCCATATTGGTTTGGGTTTGTGAAATCCAGAAAATATTACCTTGTCCTTTCACCTTTGCTAGGAGCGCAGATTCCTTATGTATTGTTTACTTACGCCAAGTTACGACAAGACTTACGGCTTTGACAGGGCTTTTCATATTATAACTGATAAGTAATGGAAATAATTTCTGACTTTGACAAAAACCATTACCACCCTTTGAAGGTTGCTCCCTACTATTTTTCATATAAATATCATTATCTGATTCAGTTTATAAAACATTAATGCCATTTAAATATATATTTTTTTATTTAAAAATAAAAGGAGGGCGAACGAACACATGGCGAAAATATCATGCCATAAGGACGAACGGACTTGACATCGTTTTCAACGGTCTTGTTATGAATGTTTGTTTTGTTTGTATATAAATATATGGAAACGCTGATTGACTACGTTTCAACATATCATTCAACATACTTAATGAATGTAGTGTGTTTGTTTAAGTGATTTGAGTGATCTACCCATTTTTTTACCAAAATAAATTATCTCAATATCTGCCTCTTGTTGCATTAGCTGTTCTGTTCACAAGACAAGTCGTCCCCATTTTTGAAGTTGAAAAGCCTTCTTCTCATCTTGGACTGCTTATTTTATGCCATTTCCAATGTTTGAATTCAAATGTCCGTGTATGTTTGTATAGCAGGTACAACATTTCTAATGAACAATCGGGCACAGCGTCCTTGTTGTCGTCTGCGTCATAACATCTAGATCTTTCCGGCGTTTAAAAATGAAAACCGAATCCGGACTAAATTTCCCGATTACGTAACTGGGATTCCCGCTGAAGCATTTTCATTATTTCTATATTCCGTTAACTTATTAATCAAGTCTTAATGTTTTTAGTATTGTAAATACTGCATTTTCATGACAATACAGACTGGACTCGGAAATAGGCAATCTCGATAAAAAATAAACATTTGATAATAACGTTTATATAGGTAAATTGCACCGTGCTATCTTAACGTTTTTTCCCCCCTATTATTGGGTAAACGGAAATGTGCTAAAAATATCGGTCATAATTTTGCGAGATTTGATATAAAAATGATCTACATATCACATACATAAATATGCTATTGGGAATCTTACTGTATTCTTTTGTAAGTTCACATTTCAAATAAGTTCCAAAATGAGGGGGGGGGGGGGGGGGGGGGGTCGGACCTTTATCGGGACTCCGTGATCGGGTGTTTTTAAGCTCGGGATTTCGGGATTGATCCTTTCGGGATCCGGGAATTCTTTTATCGAATTTTGGGATGTCGGTATTTAAATTTCTTTAAATTCGGGACCTCGGGATTTCATGCTTTTAAGCCCCCATCAAAATGAACTTAAAAATATTCATGTCTCTGGTACAGGTCATTCTTTCTTTAAAATTAACATAACTATAGGTACTGAAATTCAGTGAATATGTTATATTAAAATAGGTACATTTTTTGGCAAAAATTGCAAACCCCCTTCCGTGTTTATTTTGTAGATGCATTCTTGTTAACTTTATATAATTTTGAATCCATACACACCAAGACACATAACTTTAAATAAGCCCTCACGGTCCCAGATTCTGAAATGAGGACCCATGCATTCTTAGCAAAACAGTATGAGTGGGGTTCATGTATAAACATAACGATACGGCCATCATTAAAGTTCTTCCATCGTTATGATTTTAAACAATCCCTATGTTTTTAATCATGATACTTGTCAAAAGCATCAGGATACTTAGGGAGCTACCGTTTGATTTATTTTTAGGGGGGGGGGGAGGGGCTAGGATGAAAAATGAAAAATTTTGTCCTGCATTTTTTTTTAGTTGCAATCTCTGTCCTGCCTTTTTATTTTTCACACTATTTCGGTCCTGCCTTTTTTATTCGTTTATCCTGTGTCTTTTTTTTACATAAATTGTCATCCTGCCTCTTTCACTGAAAACTCCTGTCCTGCCTTTTTTCAAACTTCATCCTAGACCCCCCTACTTTGACATATATTGGTTTACTTTTACAAATTGTGACTTGGATGGAGAGTTGTCTCATTGGCAGTCATACCACATCTTCTTATATCTATATATTGGCAAATTATAAGATCAAGAAGCATATTTCTAGGATAAGGAAAAAAGTCGAAAGTAAGGGGTACTGGAATAAGCAAGTGTAGGAACAAATGGAAAAAAAATATCTATCCTGAAAAAAATCCTCCTTTTCTACTGGCATTTCAAATGGTCGATCGTCTCCTAATGAATATAAAAAAACATAATCTTATAGCTTGAATAAAAAGAATGGTGTATGCTCCCAAATGCCGCTGACCCTTGGGGGGACACGGGGTTCAAACAACGACCCCCTAAAACCAAAAATTATAAAGTTGAGATTCAGATTGATGTTTGACTATCAAAGCCATAGCCTAATGTTAAGACAAAAAATGCCACTTTGGGTGATATTCTGGCTACATTGAGACCTTGCACCTTATTCCACGGAGTAAGCCTGAGCCTACGATCAATATTTTTTTTGAAGGGGTGACATTGTAGAAGACCAAAACATTGGCAGATTTTATGCTAAAAATGATGTATCATACGTTTCCAATCAAAGGGGGCGTATATGCCCTCTACGCCACTGTATTAAGAATTATTTACAAAATCATACACTCATTCGATTTTAATTGAGACAAAATGAATAAAGATAAAAACAAAGAATAGCAATTATTTTTTTGGGGGTTACGGTCTCATTAACGTATTAACCACATATCTCCTTTTATTCATATTTCTAATAAAACATGAAACTTTAGTATAACAATTGTTTCAGTTTCCGAAAGAGCGTAAAGACAATTGGCAAATGTGCAGAAATTATGAAAGTATTTGCAATTAAAAAAAAAGTTCCCCGGGCGGATCTAGGGGGAAGGGGATTCAGTGGAACCCCCCCTTTTTTTAACGATCAATGCATTTGAATGGGGACATATGGTTAGAACCCACCCCTTTTTTTCCATGATTGGGCCTGAACCCCCTATTAAAAATGGCTGGATCCGCCTCTGCTAAATAATTCATAATTAAGAGGGCTCGAGGTCACATGAAACATTGTTTTGCCTTTCTGAGTCCAGTTCACTTTCATGACCATCCAGTAATTTATACATATAAAGATACTGAACAGAAATTACTGCAAATATTAGACCGTTCAGAAGACCAGTCAACGTACCCCATCCCCCAGAAATATATTTACTAACTGCGATTATAAACAGAATAAATTAATATAAGACCATGCAAATATCACATCCACATGTCCTTCTGATCCCTTCTGGTAAAATGAGAATAGATTTGAAAAACCAAAGGCGGATCTAGGGGGGGTGCTTACCGTTGAAAAACAAAAATATATTCCTAATATATTTTGGAATAAAACCTTTAGCTATGATGATTTCTCCATTTCATAATGACTTATAAATATCTGATGCATTTATCTGACCACAGAGGTTTTAAAAGCATCTGTGAAAAAACAAAAACATCTTTTAAATAGTTTCTGATCAATTGTTACTTATTATATATATATGTCTCTGATAATGTTAATAAATTTGCTGATAATTTCTGAGTGTCCTTAAATTTTTGGTAACTTGTTCCTTTTCAAATTATTATTTACTGTCAAAGAGAATATTGTGTTCGTCTTTTACTTTTCTCTGCATGTAAAATCTTATAGGTAGAGGCTATGTTTCGCTCCCCTGTACCAATTTATCCCTTTGGAAGAAAAAAAGATCCAAGTTGGGATGCTCTCTGTTATGCTTCCCACATTAAACAGTGAAACTTTTTTTGTTCTGAGTGTATAAATATTGTTAAAATGGTAATTAAACCAGTTGCTTAATCATAAGGTCAGGATTGGGTAAGGCGGTGTTAACTTGTAGTACCTGACTATCACTATCAGACATAAAGATACATATATGTGTGTGTGTGGGGGGGGGGGGGGGGGGGGCATATATTGTATTATACATGTTATATGTGACAGGCTCTTGTAGTCTTGGTAGTACATATATTTTTAGTGTTCTGGCCATTCTTTCCCAATTAGTTTACTCCACAAATAAAGTCTCATTGCCATCTTCTAACTGCTCAATAATTTAAAAAGGGGGGGGGGGGGGGGGGGGAAGGCAATGAGAAATAAAACAAATTTATATGAATATGAGTATGATTTGTAATCAGTTATAGAAAATATTATTTAAAATTAACTCCCATTGACTCAGCAGTTGCATCTAACCTTGGTGGAAATGATTCTTACCAAACAACAAGATCTATAATAAGATTATTTATATAATACTAGTATCACAGACCATAGATGTAATGGGTATTACATCTATGCACAGACAATTTTACATTGTAATACAGTTGTACATTATACATGTACTTGTATGTCTCTGTAACTATACCTTTTAAGTAAAATAAAATTAATCTGGAGAAACAAGGACAGTTTGAAAAGATAATTTTTTTTAATTGTGGAATAAAAATTGGTAATTTATATGTTTAAAATTTGTGTGAAATTTCTCATGTAAAACAAATGTTTTACTTTTTCACATTGATTTCTTTGATTCATATGAAAATAAGGAGATGTGGTATGATTGCCAATAAGATAACTTCACCTGAAAATTTGCACATGCATTTTTAAAATTCTTGATTCACATGTATGTACATTTAATGTGTAAGTTTTAAGTTTAAATAATACATACAATAGCTTTTCAAAGGAGGATGTTGTTCTAAAAGGTTTAACAGGAACAGATAATTTTAATCATTATGCAAATATTCATGTTTGCAGTATGCTGTTGTTATTTTTTTATCAGCTTATACGCTATTTATAAATATGCTCTTAAAAATGAAAAGCAATGGAAAATAAATTGTGAAAAAAATAACCTAACCAATTTGACGTGAAATTCTCTTGAAGTTAAATGTTTAATTGATGTTAAATAAGTTTTAATTTGAGAAAAAAAGGTCGGCAACACAAAAATATATAATGAAAACACACGTAAAACACATGTAAAACATGTGTTTTACGTGCGTTTATAAAACATACGTTTTACGTACGTGATGTATTACGCCCGTTTCTAAACAGGCGTTTTACACCCGTTTTGGAACAGGTGTTAAACGCATGTTGGCTCAAACATGCGTATTCCATACGTAAAACGTACGTTTTACAGACGTTATTTAAAACGTACGTAAAACATGCGTTGCACTTTTTGCTGTGTACAGGCATTTTCAAATGTAGAAAATGGTGGATTGAACCTGGTTTTATAGCGCTAAACCTCTCACTTGTACGACAGTTTTATCAAATTCCAGAAATGTACTTACCTGCTCTGCACATGATCTCAAAAACTGTTCCTCAGTGTCCGTCGAAAAATATGTTGAGACGGGGATGACCCATAATAATTTTCCAAATGTTAGATCGATTGACCTGTTCTTCAAATCTTCCATTGTCAGATTAATAAATGCAGTGATAAACTTTTTGAAAACGTCACAAGCAGGTAATGATTTACCGGTCGCATCCATCAATATCAAATCCCTGTTGAAATGCTGTACCATAAAATGAAGCATTGTTTAACTTTAATAACTTCAAATATGCAAATGCATGTTAATAAAACATTATCAAAGTCCGAAACAAGAAATCAGTAAACATGGTAAAAGACAGAAAAGAACAAACATGACAAATGTTGTCAGTAATTCATTAAAATTTAGCACGACGTGGATCAAAACAACTATTGGTCATCACACGATAAAGCACAATCATAAAGTGGTGTTGCTAAACGGAGAAAACGGAATACTATAGGGATTGAGAAAAAGTACGAAAATAAAAAAAAAAGACTGAAATCACAAAATCACAAAACATGAATTTTGGAAATAGGATAGTAAATATCAAAGAAAATAGCAAAACGTTTTGGAAATACATAATAGGTTAAAAACAAACAGAGCATGTATAGTTCATCTAGGTATATGTGCATTCCTTTTCGTTAATACATGTATTACAGTTGCAAAAAATAACTATGTAA